ATAGTTCTTAAATAGTACGTACTATATGATATGTACATAATCTACACATTACTTATTTGTTACATGTGTTAAATATGAAAAAACCCGAATATTTTCCCATTCGGGAATTTTCCCCGGGTTTTTTCCCGGTTTTTTCCCACATTCGGGTTTTTTCCGGGTAAAATCCCATCTCTATTCGCAACTAAGTTTTTAACGTCCTTACTTGCAAGTTAAAGTCAGGGGGAAATTGATAATCAAAACACTTTTTTTCAACGTCTTTGATCCCTAGTTCCTAATTCGAAAATATTTATCAATACAATATCACAAGCGTATGAAGCCTAATAAATAGTTTCTTGATAATATAAAACGAGTCACTACATTAATTTTTTTGGGAGATAAACTCGAACATTCCTATCTGCTATACTTGTATGAGCAGGTGCATGAATGTGATGGAAGCTAAATAAATATGCACCTAGGGTAAATACTAAATGTAAGTAGGTAGCACTTTGTGGCATCAACCTATACTTGCCATATACTAATATACTTCTTTATTATACTCTTTGATCTCCACACATACATAATACCAACAAAAAAGGAATACACTTGAATGTTATTATAATATTTTATTGGTATAAAAATGTTAAAATAAAAGTTACAGTACATTGATAAACATAATTTAAAAGCAGTTAAAAAGCATATGATTATTTTGTTTGTTTCTGTAATTAGATAAATGAAGAATAAATCATCTCAAACAAAGAACAAAACAAACCTTTTTAAAACCTCAGTTCGAGAAAATTTGCACTTATTAGCAATAAACAATTTATTGTCTCTTATAAACAATACATATTTTTATATATAATTTACAGTTAATCACACAACATCATTTATTGATTGATTTGACATTGAATATCACATTGCACAAATAATTTGGGGTCAGTTTCACAATGACTGATTAAGGTTTCCATCGGGCAAACGGAAACATAGTGAAACAGACCTTTAGTTTACAGCATCAATTTTTAGAAACTTACTAATTAGATAAATATTATTTATTTTTTATATGTACAAGACTAGCCATCTTAATTAGGAAAATCTTGGCACTGATACTGTTGTACTCCAATTAATTATGGCCATCATTTGCTAAGCACCCTCTGCAACTGGTTTAGAATAAACAAAATATCACAACAGACTCAGAGCTATACATAGTAATTATTTTTTTTAATTAGAGAAACCAGAAGCACCAGATTGTAACAAATTACAGTATTTTTCCTCTACAATTTCAATTTACTTTCTAGAAACCCACATGTTACTGTTAGTAGGTACCATTATTCCGACCTTTGCTTATAAGATAAAACATGTTATTAAAGAGAATTGTTTGATAAGCAGCTCAAGATAAGTTACACTGCAATAAAGTATGAAATTGTAGGCATTTATGTAGCAAAATTCATTGATCACCACCTGCTGCCTGTTCCTTTGAACGGACAGCTTGTTCATATCGTAACTTCCACATGCTTACATGTTCTTCCAACTCTTTCACTCTACTTTTCTCTGCATTCAATGAATCCTGCACCTGTTCCAGTTTAGCTTTGAGCTCTTCAGTTTCATTTTGAGATGAGTCATCAGGTTTAGCAGCCATAACAGTACTCTTTGCAAGCTTTACTGTAGCTTCAGCCTCTTTTATAATTTTCTCAGCCTTTTTAGTTAGTTCATCCTGAATTATTAACATGTTGACTAGCCTACGAATAACAAAAGCTAGGAAAATTGCAAAGCCTGTTATGTAAAAATTTCTCTGAGCTCTAAACAGCTTCACACTGCCTTTTAATTCACTTGCCAAATGAATATGAGCACCAGCATCTCCAGCGTATTTCCTCATTTCTCTTATGGCATCAACCAGGAATAAAGTTAAAACACCTAACAACACATAGAAGTAAGCCCCAGCATGATGTTGCACCATAAAAAATAATCTTGACTTGAAGAACTGATTCCATCTTCTAGGACTAAATATAGGCAGCATCATTATGATGACGACAGCGACTTCGAAGTAGAGGAAGCCAGCAATACATGTCCATTGAATAGACATTGTGTATAAATTTTACCGGCCGGTATCTAAGAACTTGAGCACTATTTTAATGTTCTTCAATTTTTCTTCTTGTTTTCTCTCCCTTTCCTTTTCGGAATCGATGATTTTAACAAAACTCCAGTTGAAGCTAAGTATAAATTTTTATTTATAATCTCGCTTGTACGTAAACCAAAATAACTTCGATTGCTAACTTTTTGACAATTTTCTATGCACATAAATTGACATTTCAAACAAATAGAGCAACTCAGAGAAAGTCAATTTTTTTTTCTAATAAATGCTGTAATTCAAAGACAGCCCCGTAACTTTTATTTTAGATAGTTTGTAGGTTTGTCTTGTTTTGTAGATAGTAATCTCCGTTTATTAATGTTAAAGGTAAGTTTTGGTTATGCTTATCCTTTATTCCGACCCATCTAAGTAATTTAGAAATCTGATTGGGCCACGTCAATGCCATTCTTGGACTTTGTTATAAATTCGACTAAATACCTATCTATCCTACATAAATATCTTATTTTGTGTTTATTATCAACTTTTAGTAAATTCTGATAATAATTGATGTATAGTCTATGGAATACACATTGGCATTGGCAACATAGAAGAAAACAGTCATAGAGCTTAAAACAGCAACTGTCGAAAGTCATGTCATGTCATGTCATTTGATCAATGTTAGGAAAATTGATAAATTAATATTATTTTAGATTAGATTCCACAGTAAAGTAATGGCGAGTATAGAACTAGATATTTGGCGAGGAGAATGGGGCCTTGCCTCGATAGATTTAGAATGTCTAAAAGTTTTAGTATGTACTTTTGTTATAACCTAAAGTGACCTAATGTACCGGCAGAATTCTTGGTATTTCATTGTTTTGAATTTTCCACAGACCTATATGAAATTTATTGGAGTACCTGTAAGAGTTCGAGAAGCAAACAATCCATTTTTCACACCCAAAGGAAGGCTTCCTGTCATGAAAGATGGACGCAATCTACTCACAAATTTTGAAGAAGTTGTCGATCATTTAAAATCCTTGGTAACGTCATAATTTCTCGTTTATTCATTTGTAATTTATAAAATAATTAAGGTTTCTGTTCTTTTCATGGGTTGTTGCTATAGTAATTAACCAATTTTAATGTTCAATCTATTGAAATATTACATCATGTAGCTGCACAACCTATCAAAGTTTAGCACTTCATTTTTATTGTTTTTGCAGCACTACAGCACAGATGTACATTTAAACACGAAGCAGGCAGCAGAAGCTAGTGCATTCACACAATATTTAAGGGAGAAACTTTACCCTGCATACCAGTATGCATGGTGGGTAGATGAAAAGAACTATTGTGATCTAACAAGACCAACATATGCTAAAGCACTTTGTATACCCTTCAATTTCTATTATCCATCACATTACCAGAATGCAGCAAAAGAGATGATTGATGCTTTATATGGAGAACACACAGATCTAAGGGAAATTGAGAAAACAGTAAGTGTAGGAAATTTTGTTCTTTATTTATTTAAACTGTCAAGTACCAAGCGGTCACCGGTGACCGCAACCTATTGTTCTATAATTGTGTCTGCAAAACCGGTACTCGACGAGTTAATTGATTACAAAATTACTGGTTGATTGATAGTGATTAGTCTATTTTCATACTTATAATACAGTCTAAAATGCACTGGAATATTATATTTTATAATATTTTCAGTTATTTTCTGTAATTTTATAACCACTTTATTTACTTACTTGATTGTTAATTAACATATGCATTATATTGTGTGTCCTTACAGTTATACAATGAAGCTGAGAAGTGCCTTAAAACATTATCAGATAGATTGGGAGAGAGTGAATACTTCTTTGGTAACAGACCTTCATCATTTGATGCCACAGTCTTCGCATACCTTGCACCACTCGTGAAGGCACCATTCCCTAACGCCACACTAGCCAATCACGTCAAAGGCATAGCTAACCTCTCCAGATTTGTTGCTAGAATTAACCAAAAGAATTTTAGACATGTTACCGATGGTAAGTTCTTTGTTGATGTAATTCTTAAAATGTAAATAGACTTTAACCTTTTGAATGCCAGAGCAAAAACGCATGAACTTGCCCTCAACGCCAGGCCACAAATTCACCGCAAATACCTACGAAAAAAATAGGGATTCCAAAACTTCATCGATAATCAATTTTATTTTCATTTTCGTCTTTAATTTCGAAATATAATGTCCTTATAACATTGAAATTTAATTCAACATTACATTTCTTCCTAT